GTTTCGGCTTTATTCAGGATAAAAGTATCAGTAGACGTACAGATGTCCAAATTATCTAGATGACAACTAATTACTCCCGTACAGTCACAGATGTCCCACAGTCCCAACAGGGACCTTCAATAAGCTTGAGACATTAAATTAAAATGTCCAAATGTGAATTATAACTCAAAAACTGATATGACAATACTTTTTTTTATTTTTCTTGTCAACAAAATTTCTATTGCATGTAAAACGTTTTAATGATATACAGTTGATATATAATGTTATATATCTTGCGTGTAACGTCCTCATCATGGACATTGCGCAACAGAAACCAAGACACCTGCAATATCAGGCTGCAGAGAAAACAGTCTGCATATATAACACGTTTGCAATTAGTTGGTGCACTAAAAATAACCAACAGAATACAGCATCCTACCAACCAATCAGCAACAAGATAACATTATACACTATTACCAAACTATCTTATGTAAAAAGCAGTGCATGTAAATGTTGTGTTATAATTTGCCTTTCAAAAACTTCAAACGACCACAGATTTTTATAACATGATTTGTCTAACGGCCCCTGTCATTATTTTGTAAAGTGATTCAAGTTTCTGTATTTTTGCTCGAAACATGATTTGAGTGGACTTCAAAACTATTTTTTTTTTTTAAATTGAACTCCGTCCTCTCTAAAACAACAGCACATTATTTTAAAATTTTAAAAAAATTGTACAAAAATTGTACCAAAAAAAATCCGTTTTCTGTTAAAATGTACCTAAATCAGCAACCACACTGATGTTAAAAATAAAGATTAAAAATGTCATTCTGGTCCATTTCTACGGTATGCCATATTCAAATGTTTCAATTCTGGTCAAAGGAAACCACTTACTCTTAACTAACAAGACAGAATTCGAAATTTTCACACTGTTTGATTTTTCAGTGAATTTTCGAATTTTAATTTTACATTTAAATATGTCCTTCAGTTGCACTGCCTTCCTAGTGAGGGTTAGATTGCATTAACATTTGAAATTTTTATTATAGTTTTGACTTGTTTCCAAATCTTGTGAAAAGCCTGGTCCTATATATTTGGTTCCTTTAGAGGTCTGTGATGTATCATGTGCTACTGGTATCAGTATCACAGTTGAATAAACAAACTACGATTGGATAAATACATGTACTGAAACAGCTCTCTGACTAGAATGATTCGAGACATTTGGGAGAAGGATAACGGGGTCCTTCATTTTTCATGTTTTGATTAAATATATATACCAATTACAGTACATAAATATATGTAATCTTCTCCACAGAAAAGAACTGTTCATGACTTACCCTTTTAAAAAAGCGAATTTTCGATAATGTTCATGATAAACCACTTGTGCATAGCTATGATGACAACATCTTCACAATATCAACAAGTGATAGAATAGTGATTTTAGAATTACACTGTTGGATAACGCACACAAAATATAATTTTGTGAAGTATAGCAAAAAGCAGATGTCTTTAGCAGAAATTAAATATATTGCTGTCAGATTGCATGTCACCTCCTGTGAATTTACTGGGAAGAGATGATACACAGACAAATGGACACACTTATCTACAGTATTAGAGGTGCCAATTAAAACCCTTACATTTACTGATAATCCCGACTACCCTTTTCGAGAGGTTTCAACTCAGATCATTACAGAGTCAAAGGCAACTGTCGATTTACAATGAGAATTGTGACATACCAGACATATAGAAGATTGAATTCTTAAAACTAATCATCTTATAATCTCGGCTTACTACTGCATCAACTTCAAGTTTTTCTTTCACAACATCTTTTTATGAATGTTCTGAATTGAATTCAGTGATAAGCATTCAACTTTTAACCCTTTCACCACTGTAGCCCATAATGGACACATCCAGATCAATGCATGGTAGAGTCTACATAGATTACATAGGGTTGAAAGGGTTAATCTGTGTAGGTATTTGTTTATACTGGAAACATTTTGAAAAATTAGGTATGGATAATCTTACAGTTAGTGTTACATAATCACTGAAACACCCCCATAAAGAAACAAATGACTCTGCTCAATCCTGATCTGGACTGATCCAACTGTCAAAAAGGGGAAGACAGCATTTAAACTGACAACGCCTATTCTACTTGGCCAACAAGAAAATATCACAAACTTAGCACACAACGCGTAGGTGAATTTTCACCCCAGTCTATATACAGAGTAGCCATATCTAGGTCTTTCACATCGTTGTATACAGGATTTAAAGATACAGTAACAAGGAATAGGAGTAAAATCAGTGCAGTGTTACCCAATTTCTTAAAATCAAAACATTAGCCCTTTCACCACCGTAGATCATGATGGACTCATCCTGATAAATGTATGGTAGAGTCCATTTGATTTACCTAGGGATGAAAGGGTTCAGCTGCACATACACTAAACCACTGTTTTCAAAACAGAGTCTGTGTAAGATTAAAAAACATTGTTTGCTGAAAACTGATACATATGTATATGTGAAGTGTGGCTATCAAATAAAAGTCATAAATCCGTATACAGGATATAATTATTATTTTCAAATTTTGATAAACATTTTATGTAAAAAATTCTTACATTAAGAATAAAGACTAAAATCAGTGTTCTTTTAATCTTCACGTTTTTTAATTATTTGCCTTGACAACAGGGATTTTGTCCTCTGCCCCCCCCCCCAATGATTATTGTTTGTTTGTTAGAGTGGTTTATCGTCCGCTTCACTACCGAGTAGGTCGGTACATTTGTACATGTATTTAATACATATTTTACTTTGACCATTAGTTAAACTATTACCTCAAATTTGTCAACTTCCTTCAAAACATATGTTATGGTAATATTCGAGTACTGAAGAATATATACTGAAGTAGAACGGTTGCGTCGGATCGGAATTACACATTCATAATATAATGCTATTGGAAAACTGAGGAGCTAGTAAGTGATTCTGTATCTTTGATAATGAAAAATGCTTTTAGTTCAATGTGGAACCACAGACAACAGCTTAAAGCAACGTCTTTGGCAAATTCTTGTTTCGTAAAAATCACTGGAATTCGTAATGAAAGGTATGCGCTACGTATTGCCACTTCAGATCGGACATTATACACACTATTAATATTTGTTCACAAATCGACCACAGGAGATTCCCCATGACCATTACACAACGAAATTAGACTAGAACCAATACATTTTCTACTCTGACAATAACGCAACGAATATTGCAACAGGAATAATCATAAGCCGATGTTACAGTATTACAATAACATCAATGTTACATTATTACAATAAACATCGATGTTACATTATTACAATAAACATCAATGTTACAGCATTTCTCTTTACAATGCGATCTAGAATTCTGTACAGTTGGATGTTTTCATGGATGTTATTTCAAGCAGCTGGGACAAATTTAACGTTCACTCAATTTTACATTGTATCTGAATGAAATCACTGAGTGACATGCAAACACAGCAAACTTCACAGCATAAAGACTTTCAGTGCCAATAATATTGTATACCAGGAAATTTTTGCTCTGTCAAATTTTCGGGCTTCAACTGTGAAATCCATTTTCGCCCACTAATAAAATTTCCCATTTAATGGCTATTGATATTATGTCGTTAACTACACATTTAATTACTTGGTATAATAATTATGTTGTTTACAAAAGTTTGCTGTAATGATAAATTTACCCTCATTACGGAGGGGCAAAAGAAGCGAAAATAAAAAGTATAAAGTAATTATTTCAAATTATGTATTTATGACAACATATACAATAAACCCAGATGTGTACAGACATTTTAGTTTTGATAATTTCTGTAATCCAAAATTTCTTTATCCAATTTTACAGGTACCATTACAAAATCAATTAGGTCCTGAATGTTATTAGATATGGACAAAATAATGATTTACGACCATCATTGTACAGGTTAGCAAAGATCCATTGTACATTCCACAGGTTTTGGACGGACAGAAGTTTGTTATTCTCTTGCAAAACGTGAGTACTTCGCAGTTAATAGAGTTAGGTCCCTTGTATACCAGATTTTTTGTGAGAGCTAATCCTGACAACGCTTTCAACCCTTTCACCCCTGTAGACCAAAATGGACTCATCTCATCAATCATTAATTAAAAAAAAAAAAAAAAAGAGTTTTTTATAATTTCATTTGGTTTTTAAACAACATATAATACAACTCTGGTGTTCAATTATTGTTCAGTCATTAGCATATTTTTTTCTCTCAAAAAGCCATACTAAATCTTGTAAAAAGACCATTAGTATTCAGATTTTGATTAAAGCCAAAACAAAAACATTTCACCTAAAATCATGTTATCATTGAACCTTTGACAGTCTTTTGGAATTTGCTTCTCTCAGTCTTTCGGAATTTGCCTTTCTCACGACTTATGTGTTTACAGAAATGGAATAAAAGTTATCAAGATCTTACAATTTGTTCGAGTACTGTTACAATAATCAACACTGCAACAGTAACAGCAGCACTGTAACAATCAGAAATAACCAACCATGATTATGATAAATACGTCTGATCAATCAGCTATAACCAACCATGATTATGATAAATACATCTGATCAATCAGAAATAATCAATCATGATTATGATAAATACCTCTGATCAATCAGAAATAACCAATCATGGTTATGATAAATACATCTGATCAATCAGAAATAACCAATTATGATTATGATAAATACATCTGATCAATCAGAAATAACCAATCACGATTATGATAAATACATCTGATCAATCACCACCGATCAGGTATCACTAGAACGTACACTGATTTAAATAATACAGACAATTAGCAAGCTAGTAAAACCATAAATAGAATAGAGTACCTATATGTCATACGCCGAAACACCCTCACAGCAAGCTGTGTTGTTCAGAGTCCACAGAATAGGGTAAGGTGCAGTAATATCTGAAATACTTTAAAAAAAAAAAATGAATTTCATTTTAAATATATGGACATTAAGCATAAACCCTTTCACCCCTATGTAACTCTAGTAGACTCTACCATGCATTGATCTGGATGGGTCCATTGTGGTCTACAGAGGTGAAAGGGTTAAAATACCTCATTATTTAGCACAGAATTTTAGCACATAATACAAAAGTTTCAATTCAGGGAAAACTCTCATCCTGTTCCGACACTTTTCTGTATGTTATATTTTCATATATTACCATCAGGCAAAGCTAGTAAATATTAATTTCCAAATGAAGAGAGGCTTATAGAAATAAAACTTTCACTAGACCATGATACCAGAACAACTTGACTAGCTGTGATGCTATCTAGGGTATGATAACATTTAGACACTACATAGACTAACATACACACCCTCATAAGGGCATAACTACACCATACACCACACACACTGGGATCTGGATCAGTTCTCTTCAAAGTACACATTAGATTATAATTAACTCATTCACCCCTGAAATTTTATAATGAACTATTCCAACCGTTGAATTGGAAGAGTTCAAATGTGTCTTCAGGAATGAGTTAAGATCATATCAATGTCTGCCAATATGGAAAGGTATGAAACAAATTTCTAACGTATATTTTCATTTATATATTGTTCACTTTGCAGATCTTGAAGTGTAACACTAAACCAGGTCTTAACGCTGCTTCCAACAATGCTTACCTACATGTCAATAAATCGGAATCAGGCTTTTCTGCAATTTGAAGACAAATGACGCAGGCCACAGAAACTTCCAAAAATCGCACTTATATGCTGAGTACATATGTTTACATGTATAGCTTACTAAAACACACATTCACACCCCGACATAATATATCTACACACGCCTACACAAACTTACATACACACATACAAGTATGGATACACACATATTATATCTAATCGTACACATGACCTTTCAGGCACTCATACATTACAATACACAGGTACACTACGACGGCTACGACACATCCATATGATCATCAATTGTGGTCACCAGGGGCTGGGCCATATAGTACGGCAACACAACCACGCCCGTGTCCTGTGATGTGTGACTAGGAGGGGAGATAACTCCGTTGTGATGCTGCGAGTCCCAGGAGGTCTGTTTGAGTGACTCTGTGGAGGAGTGAGGTGATGAAGAGGGTAGCTGTGACAGTGACAGCTGATTTGACTCAATGCTGAGTGAGATTTGAGAGTTATTTATTTCAGCGACCAGGACCTCGTCGTTTAGAGGAGCCCCTGTAAAGGTGAAGCTCGGCACCTGTTGTTGCTGTTGCTGTAGTTGTTTTTCCAATGCATATTGTTGTTGGAGAAGTGCCAGTTCACCCCCCTGGGGTATGAATGCGTTTTTACGCCCCGGCGAGTGATGTGTGACTGGCCCCCCAGATGACTGCTGCTGTTGATTAATTTGCTGATTCTGCTGTTGTCGATGTTGCTGTTGTTGATTCATTTGCATTTGTTGTTGATGATTTTGCTGGTAGTCCAGCACCTGTTGATTCTGTTGATTCTGCTGTTGCTCCTGCTGTTGTTGTTGCTGTTGTTGTAGCTGCAATTGATGTGCTGTATACAACGGCGGAACACACACCGTCCGTTGTTGTTGTTGCTGCAGCTGCTGGATTACCACCGATACATTCTGCATTGGAACTCGTTCCTGCCCAACTTCCTCCTGACCATCGTTCTCTTGCGTAGGTGGCAGCAAGTTTTGTGGCCATGGTGCATCGCCCCCATCTGACATTGGGGGCATGACGGGCTGTTGCTGTGCCAGCTTGTATGAGATCTTCCGAATTACTGGTGGTCGACTCAGATGATTCAACTCGTCATGTTTACCAGAATGTCTCTGTTTACGAGGAATTTGATTGGCTGATGATAATGAGGATGGGTCACAGGGGACGATGTGCATCTGCTGAAACTGATGTTGAAGCTGAGTCTGTTTCTGAAGTGTCTGTCGCTTTTGCTGCAGTCGATGTTGCAGGAACTGTTGTTTTAAGGGATTGCTCTGCAGCGGGAAGTCATATTGCTGACAGAATGGTGGTGCTGCTGCCCCCTGCTGGGTCAATTCTTCATTGCTGGTGACGCGATCCAGCTCCCGCTCAACTTGTAGGCTCTGTTTTATGGCAAGGAGCCTGTGAGGCTGGAGGTCAAATGTCTCTGAGGGCAAACTCATTCTCTTCATCAAAGGTCGTGGAGGTCGTTGGGCTTGGGCATGTTGGCCATCCTCAAGTGACCACTGACGACCATTTTTTTCTATGTATTCCGAGTGCTGCTGCTGAAGGGCAACCGACTGCTCCGTGGAAGGCATCCCACTGAACATGTTCTGAAGTTCCTGGTGCTCCTCCCGTAGCTCAATCATACCCTCCGCACGCATACTGTTCTGAAGTCGTTGTCTAAATGCGAATATTCCCTGTGCAACTAACCCATCACTAGCCCGTCGCCCTTCACGGAAGTTGACTGGCGATCGTGTTTGACTGCGATCTTGCGAGTACTCTTCGGACCCTGATGCATCTATAGAGCCAGTATTGTCCTGATAAGAATCCCCCATAGCACCAGAGTCATTGCCTGTGACGGGGGGATCTGGATTGCCAATGGCATAACTAGGGCCGCCTGATAATGACCCGGAACCCGTCGAGTACTGGGAACCTTCTGAAAGACTAGACATAAAATCGGGCTCCATTGAGGAGTCAAAACTGGCAAAGGGCGAACCAATGCCTGTGCTAATGGATGTGATACTATTATTACCATTAGTGTTCAACTGTGACAGGTCACCAAAAGCACAGCTTGGTATGAGTCCCATGCCAAAACCGTCACGCACAAACTGGCCTTTACCGGCAGCACTATTGTCATCAGGCGAGTCCATGATATCCACCTCGACACCCTCGTCTATTGATGTAGTAATGAGGCGCGTCGCACGTGGGTTCGGGGTAGTTGTCTTCGCCACAACCCCGATGGATACAATTTCCTTTAAACACCCAGCCACACTGGGCGTTGGAATATCAATATCATTTAAAAAGTTCACATTGGGTGGATGAGTACAGTCAGTCGTATGACTAAACATGCCCTGTTTGACGTTGACTAGGGGTATACGCTGCATGCCTCCGTCGGTCGTATGATCAGATTGACTAGTCTGTGTATGGTGAAGCATGGCTTGTTCCGCTATCGTACTTGGTCGGCGCTTCCGCGGATCTATTCGATTCTCAGGTGGGAAACTGCTGCGGTGCTGTTTCAAGCGCTCCAAGAGGAGGTAATAAATGGCAGTATAGTGATCGTACGCATCGCTCTTCAATGCCTGAAACCACAAAAAGACAGTGTCAGTGGCACATACAACTACTGTCCTGTTTATTTTAGTTTCTGTATAGGTATACAGTATTTAGAGACACACAGTTAAATAGGGTCTTGAGGAATATAGCTATAGTGTCGTCTCGCTCACAAGACCAGGGACTCGCAATGGTGTTTTAGTATTCAGAATAACACATGACTAATAAAGGACTTACTCCCTGGGCAACAAAGTCAGGGGAAAAGTGGGAATATAGCATATTTAACTCATTTACCCCTGGAAACACATTTGAACTCTTCCAATTCAAAGGTTGGAAAAGTTCATTATGAAATTTCAGGGATGAATGAGTTAACATTGGTAATTTACTTTTATATAGAGTAAATAAAGAAGAGATAGAACAAACTAGTTTTGTCCAGTTTCTGTCATAATAAATAACATTCTGAAGGTAACACAACTATTTCAAATTTAACAACAAAAGACTGCTTTAATGATGTAGGTATCAAATTCAATGGGTTTTTTCATTTGGGATTCATATGTTAACAGCTAAGGGTGAATACTAATTAAAATTATACTCCTTTCTAGACATAAGCAAGTATTTCATTTGCAAAGGCCATTGATAAAACGACAATAATATAATGCTTTAGAAAGGAAAATTCTCTAACCAATTTTAGTAAAAGGAAAAAATAAAGTGTTTATGTAATTTTTTTTTTTTAAATTCATCCAAATTTTGGGAAATTCTTTGGACAGTGACCTAGGTGTCTATTGATATAATAAATGACCACAATCAAGAAACTCTCACCTCCATAGTTTTGTGCTGGTCTATCCCAAGACTGTGCATGAGTCGTAAAATCTGCTCATTAAATTCGCCAATCTTTGCATTATACCCGATAATTGGACTAGGAGGTGACTGTAGCTTGGGTGGACCGCCATCCGCCAACATCCATTTATGTTTCTTAATTTGACCGATGGTCAGGCGCTTGGAAGGATCAAGCACCAACATACGACGAATGAGACTTTCGCACTCTGAAACAAGCAACGTGATACAGGTGAAGCAAGTCACATATAGGAACCTGACATTTTTATTTATTTTTTGTTAACCAAGAGGGGAATCTTTTATCAAAATATAATCTCAATGTTTGAATGTTGAACATGACAAACCAAAACTGCTTAGTTAATAAATATAACCAACCTATTACAAAATGTACATCACAGTTATGTCCCTTACATGGCCATTCTTCAAAACAACCGGTTTATCCGTTTTCAAAAGTAGCATATTCAGGTATAAATCCTAGCGGCCATGTCAAAGTTAATGCAGGCCTTACAAGGCTTTGTCAAGGCTCGCCCGAAAGCAGCATCGGATTACTAGGTATAAACTTATTTCATAAAAGAACAACTCTGGTCTAACTGGTTAAACCGTTTGGATTGCGATGAACGAAAGCGGCCCAGGATAACTGGGTTGAACTTGTTTCTCTTTAAGACACTTCAGTGATTATGACATGTATCTTTTAAGGTAAGGTTGAAAATACCTGTTGACATGAAGAATGGAATTCGGAACCGGCCTGACAGGACACGGTCCCTCAACATCTGTAGATTATGGCCGTCAAATGGCAGTGCTCCACACACTAAGACATATAAAACTACACCCAGACTCTGAAACCAAAATACAAGGTATAAAATATAATGTTATAATGTATAAAATATAATGTTATAATGTATAAAATATAATGTTGTATAATGTATAAAATATAATGTTATAATGTACAAATATTATGAATAAAATACAATGTATAAAATATAATGTATAAAATACCATATCCAGATATATCTGGCTAGATATTTTCAAAACACAGTTGAAGATCACCAATGTGCTATTCACAAACTAGGAATTCGAATAAGATATAAAAATAAGTAAATTTGATAGAAATTTCAAATTAACTTTTAAATTTTTTACCAAGCAAAAGAAGTCTTCCGATACAAACTGACAGTAATTACTATCACTTCATAATTATGGACACACATGTTTTAGCCTTGGTTAAAATACTTAAAAACTTGGTCATGAGTATAACGGCACAATCAAAATATAATATCAAAAATTTACAAACTATTTGAGAAAAATCATTTAGAATACTTTGAATTGTTAACTACTATGTTATGTGAAGTGGGCCTGCAGGCATACTGTGAATGACTTTTGTGTCAATTAAATTTTGCTGAAATGGTGTGAGGTACTTACCCATATATCAATTTGGGGTCCCAGGTATTTCTTGCCTTCGAACACCTCCGGGGCAGCATAGGGCGGACTCCCACACCACGTAGCTAAGTGTTCCCCCGTCTTGAAGAAATTTCCAAACCCAAAGTCTGCTATCTTTATATTCATGTTAGCATCTAACAGGAGATTCTCAGCCTGAAATTATACAATGGGAAACACATATGATAAATTGTTCTTCCAAGAAATTATTCTTCTGTTTGAACACAAGTACTGTTTTGGTACAAGTTTTGTTGAATGTTTGTTCAGTCATGAAAACAAACACTTGGTTGGTTGTTGATTTTTTTTTACATAATTCGATACTTGAATGAAACATTCATAAATATACCCTTTCAAACTTTTTTTTTTTAAATGCTATCCTACATCATTCTTTCTCATGGAAAATAGTTTGGAATAAATGTGATAGTGAATAAAAACATAGCTTCATCTTGCAGATATGTTCTAGTCCTTCCGATGCTTAAAATCATAATTGCAGTAAAGTAAAGTTTGTTATCAGTATTTAGAGTTGAAATTTTTTAAAAAGTCAGTTACAAGATATTACACTGATTGTTGCAATTCTGCGTGAAGAATAACTCAACACAATGATAATTTCCACTGTCTGCCAAACTTCACTGATATTGAGAATACACATATCCGACCGGGCATGTACAAGTAGGAAGACTTTCCATCATGGAATTAAATTACGATATATTTCAGATTGACGTTTATTACAATATAACATAAAATGTTTCATTTTTCAACTCATTCACCCCTGAAATTTCATAATGGACAATTCCAACCTTTGAGCTGGAAGTTAAATGAAATAAAACTAAACATAAATTGAAAAGTATGACACAATACCATTATTTATTCCCACATACATTACTGATATTTTAAGCAGGATACGCTAGCAGGTAAAACTAAGCACTGATAGTCAAATTTAGCAAAGTGAATAAGTATCTTTGTATTAAGTGGATCTTTCATTGACTTTAAATATATGTCACAGTCTGACGTATCCTGAGATGGGGTCAATGTCATTTTGACTAATAGATCATAATTCAAACCCTAACCGGATCTACTATCCGACCCTGTGATCATGACCTCTCTTCAATATAAGGTCACAAACTTAACTCATTCACCCCTGAAGACACATTTGAACTCTTCCAATTCAAAGGTTGGAATAGTTCATTATGAAGTTTCAGGGGTGAATGAGTTAATTACATTTTCATCTAAATATTTGATGTTGAATTTTATCCCTCAAACTTGAAACTTACTGTGCATTTGAGATGGACACCTATAGAAAATAATATAATTCATTGAATGAGAAGACACTGGGAAGAAAAACAAATTTGAAATTCTGATTAAAAATTACCCATTAAGTTAACCAATATCAGAACAAGGCCAGTATTAACAGGCCTTAGAATGAGCAAAAAACAACAAATTAAAGCTATGTTAGCTTAATTCAATTTTCAAAATATAACAAAAATAATCATTTTAATGTTAGCTCAATTCAATTTTTATAATGTGATAAAAATCATTCTTTTTGTCATTATCTGAAATAAAAAATTCAAATAATCAATTCTTAGTTTGAAACATATCCTGATAAATTTTAACGTGTGGTGCATTGTATATATATTATCTAATTGTGTGGTGTATTAAAAAAAAAAAAAATCTGTCATCTATCAAGTTTGAATGTGTGGTATATATCAAATAAATTTTGATATTTCCATATTATATCAATCAATCACACTGTTCTTCCTTTTAACACCCAGAGATGACAAAAATTTCACATTCTTGTCCCAATTTCACAAACAGCCCTGTGGAAGAGCATTCTGAGCTGAATGGTAGAATATTTTGGCCTTTAAGAAAATATTTATGAGCACATGTACAAATAAATGCACTATTGATATATATTTTTCTGACAATTTTGACAGCATTCCATTTGCAAACGAAAAGAACTACATTTTCTGGCATGACTTTAGCTTTGATAAATCATTTCTGAAAAGAAAACCATACGTTGCAGGTACATGACTTTCCTAGTTTTAAACCATGTGTATGGTACATTATGGGTAAATTATTACATGTAAATAACTTAATCAACTCTATTCTCCACCAGGAAAGTAGAAATTGAGTAAATTATTACAAATCTTTATACTCTCTTGAATATTTTTTTTATTTTACAAATTGTTTACGCATTTTAATAACAAATTCTTGAATCTGAATTTGCAAGTAGGAAGAAACTATTTCAAAATTGGTTCAGATTTAATACTAGTACTTGAGAAAAATTATAATTCAGGATTAAGACTTGCCATATATTAATGCATAAATTAATTACTCAAAAAAAAATAAAGTGAATTTACAGAAGGTCATGTACAATGTATATCACGAAATGTGGCTTCTTTTACAAGTTTTACAGGGGTCGGTTATGACAGGTTTTATTATAATTCATTGTACCTAACGGTGTCATAGATTGAAAACCAACATAACAAGGGATTGTTCCTGTATCATTGTATACACCTGACAGTGAGGTAATGAATCACCTATATAAATCATCAACAACGTCCCAAGTTTACATATCAACGCCACCTACATACTCCATATCTTGTACAAATGATGTTGTTATGCCACAAAATTGGATTTCTTTCCTGAAATATTTGTAGGAAAAGGTTTTTTGAAAGTTCAATTTTTCATAACATGTTTCAAACATTTATTTTTGGAGATCCAGTTCTGTAATTATTTTAGACAAATTCCATAGTTTGAATACTGATAAATATATAAAAATTATTTTGTGATGAACAAAGCTGAGGAACTAGCTTCAGACAAATTTGTTAACTCATTCTGAATTCCTGAAATTTCATAATGAACTATTCCAACCTTTGAATTGGAAGAGTTTAAATGTGTCTTCAGGGGTGAATGAGTGAAAGCTTCGCTTATTACACTGAATCGGCATTTGATATGAAGATTTGTCTTGAACCACCCCCACACAAACACAACAGTACTACCTTCAACCGCTAACATAGTGGATGGAGAGCTCTCTCTTACTCATCTCTGATTCACGGTCTACACCTCCCCACCCAATACATCATTTCCATACATAACCTGTTCTGTTACGTTCCTTTTATATGATGTAATGAAAAATTATGGATTGGTGTCCAACTTCACGTCACTTTCAGGGAGTTCCCCACAACTAATTCTCATACTGACCTCTGTTAATGCAAAATTCTTGAGATGTTTTCAAAAGCAACTACACTGATGACTAGAAATGAACTTTTTATATAAAATAATATACAATTTTTTTTCACACAAATTCAGCAGAACAACTATTTACTAAATTTTAAACATCTGGGGAGTTTGTCTCTAAAATCTTGTTCAATATATTTCACTTCATGAGGAAAGAGTGAAATTAACACGAGTGCTTCCATCACAAATTTAATATTTGTTCTAGTGTTAAATGCCTTATGAATGTTTCAATTAATTCCTTCTAAGAAAAATATCTTTAAAACTGACAAATGAAAAGTAGTTTAGTGACACTCCTATGAAACATGAAACAAATATCACTGCTGCCTCGAAAGAGAAACGAGATAATTTTCCTTCCCACCACCCACCCCCGTGTAAAAACCTAGCACTTGTTGTCGTAACAGTACTGCCTGACATGATGATAACACTGATTGGAAAAGATGAATAATTGCATAAGATGCCTATGCCTGTGTTGGCGCTGAAATAGGTCAGCATTATCTGATTTGACGATGAGACACCCACACCAACAAAATACAGCCATTCTGTCAGCTTCATCACCTAAAATTTTCACCTCATTCACCCCTGAAATTTCATAATGAACTATTCCAACCTTTGAATTGGAAGAGTTCAAATGTGTCTTCAGGGGTGATTGAGTTAAAGCTTTGCTAATTACACTGTATTCATTAACATATTTTCAGAGCAAAAATTCCTCCATCTAATGCACATTTGGTTTGTTTGTGTTTTACGTCCTATTAACAGCTATGGTCATTTAAGGATGTGCCAGGTTTTGGTGGTGGAGGAAAGCCTGAGTTCCCGGAGAAAAAACACCAACCTACATACAGCCAGTAGCTGGCGACTGCCACCCATAGGTCTCGAACCCGTGACCCAGAGGTGGAGGGTAAATGGTAGCAGATATAGAATGTCAGACGACTTAAACACTTGTCCCCCACTGCCCTAATGCACAACCCTAAAGAAACACAATATTACATACAAATACCAGTATTAAAAATACTAATTAATCTAAAATGCAATCTTTTATGAGATTTTGATAGCAATTAAAGTACTAATTAGTGTGTTCTTTACGTTGTTGTTCCATATATATAATGCATCAGTAATAGGTTGAACGGCTGGTAACTAGTAAATTACTAGGCAGCAGCTGTGTTACTGACTGGTAATGGAACCAGGACTTACGTCACTGACCATTCCACCTGTACTTAGTGGAGGGAGGGGGACTGCTTCCTGTAATAGCTAACTATTATGTTGTCATGGAGATGAAACACGGAATGGATTGAATCCAAAGTACAAGTGCTTCAGACGTGTCATCAATTGTAGGGGGGAGGCACCTTCATGTAATAGCCATTATATATCAAGATACTTCAGTAGGGAAACTTAATTGATGTAACAGCCATCTTGAACAAATATTCCATCGGTTGGTGCCTGAAGAGTGTACTTTTATCCGAGTATCTCAAAACATACACCGGGAGTCTGCCAGCAGAGCAGATGATATTTGGCCACATAAAATCATTGGTTAAGCTAATTCAGCTGTATCAGACCACTGTCCACTGAGATGTACTATGAATTTAATATTACATTTGATAAATTTTACAATTTTTCACATTATTTCATATATTTGAATTACCAAAAAATCTGCTCTGAATGATATATGCATGAAAAAAATTAAATGCACAATCCTTAATTGGACATGTAGTGAAAGATATTCCTAGATTAATTGTATTTATACTTGTATACAAAAAATCAAAATGTTTTGTTTCTGTCGGAAAGATATCATTATTTGTCATAAACAGACATACAAAGTTATGTCCATATTTGTAAATATTTGAATCCTGAAATTATTGTGTGTAGTTACAAGAAGAGGATGTACACTAAGCTTTGAAAGGGATGGTTTGTTAAATAAATTCCTT